TTAAGGCATATACTTCCTATTAGCTATAGTAGATAAGGGATCGTTACGCGTCTTAGTTATTACGATAAGATCGCGGGTAGGTTAGTCCGCTTAACTAAGATTCGGTCTTAGCCGATACGTCCGCTATAATAAGTAGAAGCGACGTAAATATCGTCGACGACTTATAGTAAAATATAGAGGAACACTCTAAAAGTCGTAACCTAATATATTCCCTAAAAGCTACTATACTAAGTTATTACGTTAAAAGGTCTTTAAAAGTATACTAAACCCTAGGGAATAGGGATTGCCGCTATAACTATAGCGATTTCCCCTTATAGTTTAAGCGGGTATTCCCGATAAGGATAAACGGTATATATAGCGCGAAGACAAAGCTAGCTAGGGGGCTATGCTATTATCGCTATAGCCCTATAATTTCTAGCGCTGCTTTCGCTATCCTCTTACTCTATAAGTCTGCTCTAGAAAAGAATATATATATAGCCGCTTTCTTTACTTACTCTCTAGCGTTCTTTAGTTTCTAACGCTATCGCCTACCTACCGCTTTTTTATTCTTACTTTTTAGCTTCGTTCTTAGGCTCTTTATAAAACCTATTAGAGCTACTATACCTATGTTTTTCCTTAGCCGGTAGTGCCTTAAGGAACGTTAGTAATAAAAAGGTGCTTTAAGGAACGTTAGTAACGAAAAGGTTCTTTTAGTTCCTCCCTAGGGAGAAAGAAAAAAAAACGCCGCTATTAATTCCCCCCCCCCTAAATACCGCCCTTTAATTCGTCGGCTGCTATCTTCTAATTCGTTAGCTTGCTCTCTTTAGATTAGTTTAAAAATATAACCTTACTGCCCTCGTCGCTGCCCCTTTTTACCCTCTTTCCTTAAAGCCCGTCTTCTTTCCTAGCCCTTTCTTTAAAGCTCGCCCTAGAATACGCCCTTTACCTTAAGGAACGAAAGGCTCTTTTAAACGTAAAAAAAAACCTAAAAACTTTAAAACTTATTTACCCTCGAAAACCTCGGCTTCTAATTAGCCTAAAATTTCCTTCTTTTATCTTAGCCCCTCCTTATAAGCTTCCTTCTTTTATTAGTTATTTAGTTATATTACTTTAGTATATTATAGTATATTAGCTAAGGTCTAAACTATAACCTCTCCTATATCCCTACTTAATACGAGCACGATACTATTAAGCGTCCGGTATTACTATAGCTATATATATATACCCCTAGAGCTTAAAGAGTCGATATCTAGCTATCCTAAGGCCTCGCGAATAGTCTTATCGCTTAGCTTACTTAGTCTTACTTATATAGCGGTTATCTCCTTTAAAACTCTATTACCTACTAAATCTCTATCCTATACTTTAGAGATAAGTATAATACTATTTAACGTTAGGTAGCGGGATAGCTATACGTATAGGCTATATAGGTTATACTATAAGGATATAGCGCGTCTATTAATATTTAACGTTTATACCCCCTATAGTTTTAGAGCTATATACTTAAGCGTCCTACCCTATACTTTATAGTCTATATATATAAAGGCCGCTATATAAGGTAGACCCTTTTAGCTAACGTCGTTCTACTACTATAGCCTCTTTTACTAGTATTATATCTTAATAGTTATAGGCGTTAATAAGATCGTTCTTAGCGGTATCTTAATAAAGTAAATATCTTTTATTATCTTAGACTTTAGTATTATCCCTATTAGCGGCCTAAAATAGACTATTATATCTACTAAGATATAATACCTTATATATAACTTATTAAGGATAACCTCTAGCGCTATATAGCTAGTACCGTTTACTAGCTTTAGCCCTTAATAGGTATTATAGTTTACGACGACTAGTATCCTTAGTACGAATATAAAGATAGCCGGTACCGGTATTATACTATCGTCGCCTTAGTTTAGTATTATAATAGCCTCCTCCTTTATCGGTAAGCCCTCTTTTTATTTATAGTTAGATATAAAAATATATAGCGTTAACTAGTACTAGATCTAGAATACTAAGCTAGCCTTTATATTAAGGTTCTACTAGTTCTTATTTAGCGGCGTTACTATAGTAATACTTAATACTTATAGGATCCGCTTACCTTCTTAGTAGTATCTTAAGTTAAGGAGGTCTAGATCTATATAGTCTTATACGCTTAGTCGGATTTGCTTTAATAGCCTTTATAGCTCTAGGTCGCTAGTAGCGCGTACTTACTTATTAAGTATAATAACGGTTATAAACCTCTTCTATAGCGTATATACCTTATTATACTAGTACTATTACTCGGCCTTAAAAGAGTTATCTATATTTTATAAGACGGCCGTACTAAGGAGGAGGATCGACTGCTCTTAGACTAAGCAGAACTAATAAAAGTCTCTATAAAAGAGGATAATAGGGATCCCTTTAAAATCCTAGTATAACCCGCGTAGCTAGTAGAGCTACTCGTTAACTATATAGAGCGTCTACGCACTAAGTATATTAACCTTATCGACGATAAGTATATCCTTCTCTTATTGGTCTATCTAGGATTAATTATAGATAAACCGCTCTACTTAGTTTAGTATTTATAACCTATTAAGATCCCTAGCTATATTTATAACTACCGCGAGATCTTTATAAGAACCTATAAGCGGAGTAGATCGTAATACTATTAATCTATACTATTACTATCCCTAACGTCGCTATTATTATTAAGCGATTCGATTAATCCTTAGATATAAAGAGTTTAATAAGCGCCTTAATAACTCGCGACTTACCTATTCCGCCCTCTCCGCTAATAAATTAGTATAGCTAATACCTATTACCTTTCTTCTTACGCTATATAAGGTTAAGCTAATAGTATATAATTAAGAAGGTAATTACTTACTTTTTATTTAGTATAAACCTTACTACTAGGGCCTTACCTACCTTAATAAAGGAGGTTAAGGCGCCGAGCTAGATCTTTATTCCTATGCTAGCCTCTACCGTTTCCTTAAGGTCCGCCGCCGTTATTAGGATATTATTATCCCTAAAACCTATAAGTACGCTATATACCGCCGCTTAATAATTAATTACCTTTACTAAGGGTATACTTTATATTCCTTAGATTATCTTCTCTCTCTCCCTAAATATATAGGTTTACTATAACTTTATAGCTCTAACCTAACTCTATAGCGGTATAGTAACTTTAAAGGATACCCGCCCTAAGATATTAATTTATCTCGGGCCTTATTTAGATAGTATTACGGCCTAGAACTTAAAAGATAACGAAAACGCTAGTTACTAAAAGTAGCTAAGCTCTTATATTATCCTTATAAGCTCTAGTAAGCCGGCTATAATTTAGTTTACCTTAATCGAGCTTTTAATAATATTAATTAAACGCGTTATATTTCTAGTACTATTAGCTTAGTATACCGATCTAGGCTTAATACCCGCCTCTATAGTACTATCCTTATTTAAATAGACTACTATAGAGTTACTATTACTAGATAAGGCTACTTATTATTTAGCGTCCCGCTTTATATTTTTAGCTAACTATTATAGTAACTATATATTATCGATATAATATAATATCCTTAGGACTAAAGCTACTTATTCCCTCTTTTATATACGGTTAATATCGCCGCTTTCTTCCCTTAAGAAGAGCTCCTAAGGTATAAATAGTATAAGATACTATATAGCCGCTCTTTAACGTAGAAATTAGCCTCCTTAACTTAGCGCCCTTAGTTTATTAACGATAAATATACCTTTAGTAGTATAATCCTTTATTATCTTTATCGAAATCCTTACTTAAATACCTATTAAGGTAGACTATAGCCTACTTACCCGGTCGCCTAAGCACCTATACTTATTAGATTCTTAGAGCCTAGCCGCTCTTAAGCGGGACCTCGCCTTAAGCGGCGGGCCTCTTATCCCTATCGTTATACTTTAGCCTAACTAGCGAAATATAATCGTAGAGATATAGCCCTTAAAGGATATCTCCCTAGTAACGATATACCTTAACGTAGTAAATCCTTTAGCCTGTTACGGCCAGGCACATACGAGCCTTGACGGCTATAAAGATGTATTGGCACTATGAACGAAGACTCAAAGCTAAGGAGCAAGAAAGAAAGACTAGACTACACGACCGAGCTGGCCCTTATGTGCATATGCACGAGGTTACCTCAGCAGCGCTCAGGTAAGCACGAGGTCGCACGTGGGCACGTGATGCTGCTTGGGCACGTGACACTGGTGACGTTCTGCGCTGGTGTCTCTACGCTGGCGCGCAGGGTCGTGACACTACCCCCCCGTCTAAGGCCTTGATATGCGTATCAAGGTAGTCAGTCGTGGCGGCGGGTTCTTGGTTTCACGGCTTTCTCGGCTGTGTCATCATCGTCTCGTTCCTCGCAGCCCTCCTCCGCTGCAGCACATTCGATCCAGTATTGCAGGTTGACGGGTGGGCCTGCTGCGTCCGGATGTTCATCGTGGAATACCTTCAATGCTATTGGTGCGTTACGGAAATTCCTAGCCGGGTACCAGGTCTCATCAGGGTCACATCCCTTCCATAAGACCTGGTATTCCAGTCGTCGACTCCTACCGGTTACTCGAGACTGCTGGACTTGATCAACCTCCCACTCGGGTTCTCCGTTGATCTCCTCGTGGCGGAGGTGTCTGGATCTGCTGGGGCAAGGGGTTATCGGCTGCTTTTCGAAGACGGTCGGCGTGGAATAGGTTCTTCATTTTGTACGACTCGGGCAGCTGCAGTACGTAGCTATGACCGCGTTCTTCCAGGATTACGAACGGACCTGACCATTGGTTATCTAGCCGAGTAGTCGGAGCGTTCGTGGCGAAGCCTTTCCTGCTGAGAAAACTCGGTCACCGATGGCAAAGTCGGTTGGTCGTCGTTTCCTATTAGCCTGTTCCTTCTGACGTTCTTGAGCGGCGGTGGCAGCATTCCTGGCGTCTTCCTGGGTTTCCTGGGCGGTTTGCACAAGTTCCCTAGCTCTGGCGGCGGGTCCGGTGGCAGCGGTCTTGTCAGTCGGGGCAGTGACAGGGGTTCCGGATATCTCGGCCTAGGCTACTTTTAACGGTGCCATGTCGATGGAAGAGTGCCAAGACGAGTTATGGGCGAAGTCGAGGGCGGGCAGCAGGGAACTCCAGTTGTCTTGATGCTTCGTCACGTAGAATCGTAGCTTTTGATCCAGGTATTGATTTGTGACTTCTACACCCCTTGGGTCTGAGGGTGTAGGAGCTTCCATGACGATGCTTCGTTCCCGTGAGCCGGTTAATCTCTGCGAGGAAGGCAGAAATAAACTGTCCAGCGTTGTCAGAAATCCATACGAGGGGCATACCGAAGAAACGATAGAGGTAGCGGAAGTAGCGGCTAGCTAAGACTTCTGCTGTATCGTTTTTCTTTCCTGGGAGCGTGGCGATAATCCGGCTTAGCTTGCAGACGAAGGTCCAAACATAGTCATATCCGTAACGGTCTTTCGGCATATCCTTCCCGTCACATTCGACGTGCTCCCAAACAGAAGTCGGCACGGGCAGTGGATGGAGCAGTCCAGGGGTCTTGTCTCGAGGGGTTTTGTTGCGGCGGCAGTCGTGGCAGTTCCGAATATAACGACGGATATCCTCCTTCATCCTTGGCCAGTAGAAGTCTCGTTGGAGCAGCTTGATTACCTTGTTCTGTCCGGCGTGAGCGAAGATCTGGGGCTCGTGGGCTTCGCGAATGAGCGCGGTCTGAAGAAACGTCTGCTTGTCTGAGGTCTGGGCTGGTACGATCAGGTGTGTTCCATGGGTGCCGAGGTCTTGGAGGAGGTTCTCTTGGCGGATCAACGAAACGAGTTCGGCTCTTCGGGACCGAGTTCGGTCTAGTTCTGGGCGGTCTTGATCGGGCGTCTGCTGTATCCCTTGGTCTTCTGGGGTCTGTAGGGCACTCGTGGCCCTCAGAACTAATGGTCTAGTAGGCTTAGGTTCGGGACTAAAGTTCTGAGGGGGCAGGTGGCCGGCGGCCGTAGGGTCTAGCGAGTCGGTCGCGAAGCCTAGCCTTTCCGGAGGGATCAGGGTCACCGTGCGTTCCTCGGCTTCCCGGGCCTTTACGGTAGGAAGCTCGGCTGTCTTCCTGGAGAGGGCATCGGCGACTACGTTCAGTCGACCGGGGCGGTAGAGGAAACGGATGTCGAACTGGGCGAGAAAGTCGGACCATCTGATCTGTCGTACCGAGAGCAGGCGCTTCGTAGAGAAATGGACTAAGGCTTCGTGGTCGGTGATCACATCAAATTTCTGGCCTAAGAGCTCTGGGTAGAAGTGCTCTAGACTCTGTACGACGGCGAGGAGCTCGATCTTGGATTGGGTAGGCTCGCTCGGCCGGGGTCATGGTCCTAGAGAAGAATCCAACGGGCTTCCAGGTCCGATCAGGCTGTTCCTGCCATAGAACACCAGCTGTGGCATTCCGGGAGGCATCGGTCTCCAGTCGGGTCGGCAGTTCTGGTCTAAAGAAGGCGAGGACCGGGGCTTCGATAGCCAGGCGCTTGAGTTGATCAAATGCTTCGCGTTGCTCCGGGCCCATCACAAAGGCAACATCCTTCTTAAGCAACCGGTTCAAGGGTTCTGCCACTCCCGAGGCGTGGTAGCAGAAAACACGGATGAAATTGCATAGGCCAACGAATGATCGGATCGCGGTGCGGTCTCGGAGGTCTTCAAGCTTCCAGTCTTGTATCGATCGAACTTTCCGAGGGTCGACACTAAGGCCCACACCGGCTTCAAGCAGAACGCCGAGGTAGTCAACCTTGGTCACGTTAAATCTAGACTTCTTGATGTCTCCTGGAGGTTGGCCTGATGGAGTCGCCAGATCACTTCTTGACAGTCTTTCCAGTGGTCTTCTTCTTTATCCGAGTAGATCAGGACGTCATCTGCGTAGGCGCTGGCGCACCGGTCGAGGAGATCGTGAAGCTGCGCGTTGATAAACTGCTGGAACCAGGCGGGACCTACCTTCAGACCGAACGGGAGGACTTTCCAGCGGAAAGTTCCGAAACGGGTGCGAAAGGCGGTCAAATACTCGGAGTCAGGGTCCATGCGGAGACGGTGGAAGGCCTGGATCACATCGATCTTCGTAAAGCGTTGAGCTTCACGGCAACCGAAAGCAGTACCTTCGAGGGACGGAGCGGGCGTGATGCGACTTTTAAGATGATCGTTCATCCAACGGTAGTCGATGCAGAAGCGGCGGGCGGTCGTGTTCGGTTTCGGAGCGAAGAGGACGGATGCGGCGTGCGGACTCGGATCGGGCTCGATGAAGTCTATCTCCGGAGGTGATCGACAGTCTCTTTCTCTAGAGGCAGATACTTAACGGGCGTGCGGTACGATGGGGGTACTGTCGGCGAAAGAGGCTTCTCAAGCTCTAGGACTACATCGTGACCGGGTCGGCTCGAAGGTAGGGTGTGGGCCTCTTTCTTCGAGAAGAATCCCTCTAGATGGGTGAGCTGGGGCGGTAGACGACTACGGACACAAGCAACATGCTCAGGGTCTTCTCCCTGAGGGAACGGAATGCTTTGTCCCTGGTAGGTCTTCTGATCCGGGGAGACTTTAGCAACGGTTCGAGCACTAGGGACGGTCTGGTCAAGGCCGGAGCTTGGCTCGAGCTGGACTGGATCCCGGGCATCAACGGTTCGAGTTCGTTCCACTGTTCGAATCTCTCGTGAGACTACTTGGCAGACCAGGGCGTTAATCAGGGCTTGATCTTCGGAGGCTTGGACCGAGGCGACGGAGACGAAGTCGGTAGCAGGGGCGGTCGTGAGCTGAAAACGGACAGACTTCTTGGCAGACGGAGACTTGGACTGAAACGACGGAGACGGAGTCGGTAACGGGTCGGGACAGAGGCCGGAGGAGCTTGATCAGAGCGGCGCCAGTTCTTGTGGAGGATCCGGTAGCGTTTCTCCTCTTCTCGAGCAGGCGGTTCCGCCTCTCAGCGTCGGCCTGGATCTTAGGGTCGATCCGACCCGAGAGCGGGGCTTGACGAGAGCTGGATCGTCGGGGAGAACTTGGCGAGGGCAGGAAGATCATCTGGCCAGATGATCTGTCGGGCGGCGCAGTCAAGTAGGAGGCGCTTCTCCCGCATCCAGAAAAGACCGATAAAGATATCATGGCCACACTCAGCTATATCAAATGTCTCGTTTGCGAACGAACGGCCATCGATGACGAAAGTGGCGACCAGCTGTTTCTGGATATAGCCGGCTGGCTTTCCATGGAAGTCTTGAGAGGAATCCGACTCGGGAGCTCCTTAATCTGGGCTCCGAGTCTTTGGGCGGCGGACTGGGCGAAGGGTGGGCTAAACAGCAAACGGGTTTCGGCCCCCGGATCACAGGGGAGCGGGCAGGTAAGCTCACACCATCCACTTGGACTTGACTTGGCAGAGTGAATGACTTGCTAGACCTACTCGCCATCTGTGACACCTTAGGGACCATCAAGGAGTCTTGTGATGGTCCTATTCGTTTCCCGAATCCTGATCAGAGTCGTTGGCAGGGACAGGGACGGAGGCGACACGGGAGACAGCATGGGTGCGGTCGGGACACTCGCGAGAGAGGTGCCCTGTTTTTCCACAAATAAAGCAGGTGCCATTATCCCAATGGACCCTTTCTCATCGTCGGTCAAGGCTCTGCCAGCATCACGCGAGGTGATAGGGTCGAGCCGGTCTTGTTCGGAGTCTTGGCGGTAGTCGGAGCAGTCTTAGTCGGCGCGCGGCGAGATCGGTCGGAAGAGCGGGAGTCCTGTGTCTGCCTCATACTCCTCTTCTGGCAGTGGACAGCGTCTTTAATGAACCCACAGAAAACCTCGTAGGTCACGGACTCGTCACGGGTCTTGGTCAAGAGGCTGTTATCTAGGTTGGCCGGGATGTGCTGCCACAAGGTATGCTTCATCTGGTCCTCGGGCACACGACCGGTCGCAGTTAAGTAGTCAAATTCCGCAAGAAAGTCCACAATGTCGGTCTTCCCATTCACGGTAAACTGGAGGCGTTGCAGGCGGTCAAGAGCCTCGGAAAGCTCATTCGGATTGCCATAGGCGGACTCAAGGGCTTGGATCATCTCTGCCACTCCAGAGAAGGGTCGAGTGTCAGAGGAGAAGTGGTTTCAAGTGCTCGGCGGGCTTTTCCTCGAGCAGGTTATACAGACAGACCATCCGGCTGTTCTCAGTCCGGAAGGTTCGTACGTCTTCGTCAAATTTGTTCTTTATGCTCAGGATGAAGGAATGGAACTCGTCCTTCTTCCTGAGAACGTCGCGAGACCTTGATGCGCGATTTGGCGGCGTCGCTGTACTCGGGGTTCTTGCCTCTGGGAAGGGGGCAAAACAGGCCAGGCAGCTTTGCCTGTTGGTCGGAAGGCCGGGCCATTTGGGCCGGCAAAGCAGTCGAGGGCTCCCGGTGCTGTTGATTTGATTCAACAGACGGAGAGCGTTCATTTAGACGGGCCGTTAAGGCCGCAATCTGTCCTCATCTCGCGGATGAGAGCGTCTTGGGGCTCGGGGCAGCCATGGCTACTATTTCGGATTCAGTGGCTTGGCCAGCAAGCCGGGCAGAACGGCGTGGCTGATCCGAGGGCAGGGCTTCCTCGGATATCATAGTCTCGAGGTCAGAGTCTAGGGTCGGAAATGGTACCACGCGGAATCACGGTCAGATGCCTGCACGAGCAGGGACGGTCGGAGGTCAGACGGGACGAATCCTTGGTCGGAACGGTTGGTCGGACGACTACACACACGCGTAGTCTTTGTCGGAACGGACGTGATCTCAGCCTTGAGGATCACTTGGTCGGTGGTCGGAGTCTTGGTCGGAACGGTCAGAACGGATGCGCTGGATTTACGTCAGGCGCGTGTGACGTGAAAGCTCGGTGCCTATTTGCTTAATCGCTGGCAAGCGATCTTATTGAGCTTTGAGTAGTGTTACGGCCAGGCACATACGAGCCTTGACGGCTATAAAGATGTATTGGCACTATGAACGAAGACTCAAAGCTAAGGAGCAAGAAAGAAAGACTAGACTACACGACCGAGCTGGCCCTTATGTGCATATGCACGAGGTTACCTCAGCAGCGCTCAGGTAAGCACGAGGTCGCACGTGGGCACGTGATGCTGCTTGGGCACGTGACACTGGTGACGTTCTGCGCTGGTGTCTCTACGCTGGCGCGCAGGGTCGTGACATAGCCTACTTCCTCGATAAGTATTAACTTATCTATAGAACTATCTATAGTAGCTATACCGCTTTCTTATCGAAGGTATAGCTATTATCGGAAGATATACTAATAGAGTACTAAAATATTTAAGAACGCTTAGGTACTATTATTTATTAGTTTAGTTAGGTATCTTAAAAGATCTATAATAACCTCGACCTATAATAACGGCCTCTCTATAAATACGCGATTCGCTACCTTTATTAAGAATTTTTATATCTTATTTTACCTACTATTATCCTTAGTACCTTCGCCTCTATAAACCTCCGCGCTATTAGCTATTTCGTCACTTACTCTAAGAGGTAAGAGGTCCGCGGCCGTAATAACGCGCTTCTATATAAGGTCCCTTACCTTAGTTATATAGTTAGTAATATAAAAGATAAAGGCTATAGTCTTATACTATATAGTAATAAAGGATATATTATAGTTATAGTAAAGCCTTATAGTAATCGCTTTATTCTATTAATTTATTATACTATACGACCTCTAAATCTATAGTATAGTATCTCTTATAAAGGCCGTCTCGTTAACTAGTTTCTATAGTACCTTAAAGCGGTATAAATTACCCTTACGCCCCCTTTTTCCTAGTAAGTACTTAATATAGGTCGGGCTATAGGTATAGATTTATATCGCGCTAGTATAGAAGTTCGCTTCTTTATTAAACGAGGCTAAGAATTACTATTTATCGCCTAGTAATTACGATATATCTAATATTACCGATCGCTCTACTTAAATTATATAGAAACCTTCTTAGTTAAGATCCTATTTTATTTATTAGTATTCCTCTCGCTTAGGTTTAACTAAATAAGGGATATAGGCTAATACGCGGCCCCTTATACTATACCTTAAAAAAGATACTATCGATATATCTAATAATATATTCTTAGTATACCGCTTAATCCTTACTATAGATATCGATAAGTATTAAGCTTAGATATACGTTTCCTTATAGCTAGAGTAGTCTATAAATATAAAGCGCCCCTTACTTATTAGTCTTAACGGCGCTATAATAGTAGCTAATACGCTTAAATACTAACTCCTTACTTACTTTAATATAATTTTTAAAGAATAACGCTATCTCTTAGTAAAAGAATTTAGCTAAGCTTAATAGGTCTAAGATAGCTAGCTATATATATTTAAATGCTATATTAAGGCTTCTTAGAAATACCTCGGCCGCTTTAGGATTATATATATAATACGCCGCTAGTCTTAGCTTTACTAGGTTTATAATATTATTTAGGTTAAGCGTAAACTATATTATAGGCACGCTATAATATAAGATAAGTAACTAGATCTTACGTTATATACTTAGATAGAGTTCCCTTAATATAGGCTATTAGTAGCTATATAGTAAAAGGTATCTTAGGAGCTCTTTTACGCTATTATTAATAGTCTTACTTAGGCTCTTTAACTCTAGCCTAGCCGCTACTAACCTATCTATAGTTAGCGACTATATAATACGCTTTACTTTAAGGAAGTTCTTTTACGTTACGCTAAATATATTAATATAATAATTCCTTAACTATACGTTTATATTAAAAATAAGAAATAAAAAGATAGTATATATCGCGAATTAGCTACTATAGCGCTATAGTACGATGCCGGCCTATATTTAAAAGCTTATATTCTAAGATAATAAGAGATCTCGCGCGGCTGTTTTATCTCCGACTATTATAGCGCGTAAATTAACCGTCCTATCTAACCTTAAGATAACTTCCTTTACTAGCTATAGTCTTTTATATCTAAATAGTAATAAGGTAAAAAAGGTCTTTATAAAGAATAAAGCGTTTAATAAGTCGGCGAATTTATCTTTATAACTAATATAAATATATAGCTTATAGATATCTATACCCCCTTAACCTA